TCTTCTAGAGTTTTTTTTTCCTAAAGTTTCCTAGAGTGGTGTATTGTATGGTTGAGATTTAATGATAAGTCACATCAATTTTTTAGCATTAAATCTCAACCACACAATACACCACTTTAGGAAACTTTAGAAAAAAAAAACTCTAGAGGATCCTTGGTGCAAACGAAAGGCATCTTCGGTCCAGTGGTGTTTGTGGCTATCAGGCCCAGTCCTGAGATTTTCGGGACCCAAAGCCGATAATCAACTAATAAATTTCTAGGGCTCTTCACATTTTTTTTTATTGAATGGAAAAAAAAAATTAAGGTAAAGGACAAAATATTTGTATTAAAATCACCAAAAATACTTAGCATTACAATAGCTCCTCTTTGACACTCGACTAATTTTTTGACTCTTTGCTTCTTTTTCCTTTTTGCCAATCCAGACGGATAATTTCTTTTAAGAGTCATGATGAGCTGAGATCAAAATATTTTTTTAGATCAAAATTCAAAACAAGAGCACCACTACTTAACAAAACACAACACTTTTAAATTATGTGATATGAACTATTAGACTTAAACAAATTCTTCTTGATGATGTAAATACCAATATTATAATAGCACTTAATTGAGCAAAAGACAAGACAAATATTTAATTAATTGAATAGAAAGAAAAAAAAAAATACCTGTGCTGCTGCTCTGCCCCAGGCTCGATCCTGAGATTTTCGGGGCCTAAAGCTAATAATCAACTAATAAATTTCTGAGGCCCTTCACATTTTTTTTTGGGTGAATTACACCAACAGTTCCTATAGTTTGGGGTTTGTGTCACTTTGGTCCTTGATTTTTCAATTATGACACATTTGACCCTGAATTTTGAATCTTGTTCCAAATAAGGACAATTAAAGATACTATTGGATTTTTTAGGGGCAAATTCGTCAATTTGATAAAATATAAATTATTTTGACAAAAATAAATGTCAAAAATTATTTTTGAATTTTTTAAAATTATTTCTACCTACTAAAGATAAAATTATATAAAATTGATAAATCTTTTAGACATTTATTTTTTTTTATCAAATTAATTTTTATTATATATTTGGATGATGATCGTGTAAAATTAATTTTTAAAAATTAATCGTGTAATTTTTATTAATTTTTATCAATTTTACATAATTTTATCTTTGGTGGGTAGAAAATTTTAAAAAAAAATTTAAAATATTTTTTTGGCATTTATTTCTGTCAAATTAGTTTGTATTTTATCAAATTGACGATTTTGCCCTTGAAATTAAGCAATTGTATGTTCAATTGTCCTTATTTGAAATAAGATTCAAAATTCAGGGTCAAATGTGTCACAATTGAAAAGTCAGGGACTAAAGTGACACCAGCCCCAAATTATAGGGACTATTAGTGTAATTTGCCCCCTTTTTTTTTTTCATTGAATGAAAAAAAAAAATTTAAGGTAAATGACAAAATATTTGTATTAAAATCACCAAAAATACTTAGCATTACAATAGCTCCTCTTTGACACTCGACTAATTTTTCGACTCTTTGCTTCTTTTTCCTTTTTGCCAATCCAGACGGATAATTTCTTTTAAGAGTCATGATGAGTTGAGATCAAAATATTTTTTTAGATCAAAATTCAAAACAAGAGCACCACCACTTAACAAAACACAAAACTTTTAAATTATGTGATGTGAACTATTAAACTTAAACAAATTCTTCTTGATGATGTAAATACCAATATTATAATAGCAATTAATTGAGCAAAAGACAAGATAAATATTTAATTTATTGAATAAAAAGAAAAAAAAATACCTGTGCTGCTGCTTTGCCATGTCATGTGCTGCTTCTTTGCTGCTTTGTTGGCTTGGGTTGCTGGTGTGCTATCAAACAAACTGCAGGAAAAATTGGATTAAGAGAAGGTAGAGTTAGAGATTAGAAAAAAAAGGAGCCTTACAAACTACTAAAGTGGGCCTTAACTATTGGCCCTTAATTGTTAGGAATTAAGAATTGGATTAATTGTTGGGCTTTCAAATTGCTGCTTTGTTGGGCTGCAGTGTTGGGCCTTTTAATTTTTAATGGACCAATTTATTTTAAATTAGTTTGAGTTTTTTTAAAAAAAAAAATTGGATTTAAAACATACCTAACATATTTTATTAAATTATAATAAGAGAGGCTCCTTTTTTGAGCTTATTTTGAGAGGCCTAAGCCATGGCTTTGTGGGCTTATGGTCAGGGCCGAGTCTGGTGGCTATGGCAGTCAACATTCAATAATTGGTGGGTTATAGATAATGGGACTTGTTTTGGTTGAGATAAGTATGTGTTGTTGACTGTTAAAGTCCATTGCCGTGGTAACAAAGGGAGGGAGAGAGAGAGAGAGCAAACCAAGACATTTTTGCAGAGTATATATAGGTCCTGTTTGGCTATGAGAAAATACGATAAGGACATTTTAGTCCCAAAATCTAATTTAGTTTGTCATGTGCCAATCACATGACATGTTTCCATCCAAGTTTCTACCGGTTTACTAACGGCATTGGTTAGGTGTCACAAGATATAACATCAAGGAGGTAAAGTGTTGAGTTTTAAATTTTAAGGGGCAAAGTGAAAAATGATCAAAGTTGAGGAGGGTTTATTGTAATTTACCCTTTAAATTAATTTGATTCTATCTTTAACATCCATCTAAAAAATTCTATTTCCACACACTCATTTATCTCAGTGCACATCATTTCTTAATGCACACATTTATGAATTTGATTAGGTGTTATTTGCCTCATTTCACACATCATATATTTCAATTATAACCCTTAATTCAAATATTGTACACACAATTTCCACTTGCTTTGCAGCAGTAGGAATCAAATTACCCCACATCCTCGCTCTATTAAACAAGAACACTTCACGGTCATCAGATGGTTGTTTATAGGCTGAAAGTGGCCGCTGTGACTCAGTTTTCATGTCCAAGCACAAAAGCAACTGGCCATTTAAGGAAATCCCAGACACGGATTCTAGGAACCATTGGATGGCCTCAACAACAATATATTCATAACACTCGAGTTCAAACAAGTGTAAAATGCCCAAATCTTGGAAAAATCTCCATTGATATCATCAACAAACCCTAAATTTGACGGCACAAAATCTTACTTCGACTTAGAAAAAAATTGAATCAATCAATTCCTACAGTGGAAGACCAAAACAAAACCATAATAAGAAACAATACATTTGAAAAAAAAAATAAAAAATTAAGCAATGTACTCATTCATTGTCGGTGATAAAGGCTGGAGTCAAATTTTTTTATTTTTTTATGTACTCATCCATTAAGATGTGTGGATAAGACGCACAGTCACGAGTTTATTTCCTTTGGGATTAAACTTGGAATTTAAGCTGGAGCCGCGGCGATAGATTGCTGTGATTGTTCTCCCGAGGATTAGTAGGACGGGTAAAAAACCAGAGCCTGAATACCTTGGTTACGGTCATCCAAAAAAAAAAAGATGTGCACTGGAATTTTTTGTTTTTAAAAAATGTGTATAAAGAAAATTTGAATATAATATTAAGAGTATGTTTTGATATCCATTATAGTCATTTTACTTTAGGGTATAATTGTTGTTAAAATAAAATTTTATTAAATGTAGGTATTGAGGTAAATAGATGTGTGGAAATAAAATTTCTCCATCCATCTACATTGATAATCAAAAAAAATATATTTTATCCTTGTTTTTAAGGTAAATTACACTAACTCCTCTTTATTTATTTGTTTATTTATTTTGAAATACCATTGTCACCCTGTTATCTTTAAAATTACACTGACATCCCTTGTTAGCTAACTCCGTTAAATGAAATGGTTAAATGACTATAATATCCTTCTACCCTTAACTTCACTTAGGATTGGTTTGGAAAGTAATTTTTTTGACTTTTTGATTAAAATGTAAGGTGAAATTTTTTTAAATATTTAGAAATAATTTTTTAACTTTTTATAAAAATATATATAAAAAATAGAATGAATGAGAATCAACTTTGACTTTTTAAATATTTTTTTAACTTTTAACTGTATTAACCTCATCTTAAATGACACTTTAATCTCTTTCACCATATGATGGCCGTGATTTGGTATTTGAGTAACCACCTTGAAAAGAGATAAATGAAAAAGATAGTGTATGGTAATACAATATAATAGAATATTTATTCATGGTAAATATTTGGTATAATATGATCGGAGATAAGACCAAATGAAATCAAATTGATAACTTTGTGGATCAAAATGACAAAATTAAAACTTAAGATACTTAAATGACAAAGAATGCACATTTTAGGGATTACAACTGTTTTTAATCTTTATTTCTCGTTATCAATATTGGCCGACGTTAGAGTAATGATCAATTGATAACTTTAAGGACCAAAATGATAAAATTAAAACTTAAGAGACTAAAATGATAAAGACCGCTTAGAGATTAAAATTGCCCTTTATCCTTTTCAAAAATTTAAGTGACATGTAAAAAGAAAACTTCAACATTCTCCTCGTTATTGTAAACAAATTTGTATAATTTTATCGCAAAATTTCGTAGTATGAATAATAAAATGCGTAACATCACCACAAATTGACATAACAAAAAATATTGTAATCAAACTACAAATTTTGTTATATGAACCACAAAATTTTAAACATTTTGTTACTCTAATTTGTGATGAGATTACTTATTTTGTGATTGATGTTACAAAATTTTATGATAAAATTACACCATTTGTAATAAGGTGCATATAATATACAGCTTTTGAGGAGTGTGTACCATAGGATTTCCCACAAATGAACTATAAAGCACAAAAATTCAACCAAAACTTCAATTTTGGTCAAAAAAAATCATTAGGAAAGCAATACCACCAATTCAATTGTGACGTTGAATAAGCCTAGAACAGACTTCAGGAAAGCACTTGAGACAGAAAATAATAGAAATTTCAAGACAATTATCGGAAAGTGGATAACCATACTCGCATGTTTTCCATGGAGAGTTGGGCCATCCATCTACTGGAACCAAAACCTCAATTTTCACTTCCCAATCAGTCTAGTTTCATTAAATTCATACCGTTAAAAATATTCTTCTATATAATATATGTATATATGTACTACCAAAAGTCCATAGACAATACTTAGGCTATCTTAATAAAGACTTGAAAACATCTATCATCCTAATACACATACCCTTCATATATTAGAAACATCCCACTTAAACATATCCCAGTATAATCTTCTTGCATAATGTGCCAAAAGCTCACTTCTTCAGCTTGTCGCTCATTACTCAAAATTTCAACATATCTATAATTCACCAAATCCTGCCGATAAGAAAAATTAATCAGGATGTCTGTAGGAAACCTTATGATGATATATCAGAACACAAATATCAAGTCCAAGAAATGAAATTTTCCTATTTATAAGTCAAATATTCATGCATATGGAAGCTCAACACTCTGACTATCAGAAAACAGTCAAATAACAAATCACAATGAAATCTAAATCATTCAACAAAATACAAGGCTTAGTTTTTTTCTTTTTTTTTTTTTTGATGAACAAACATGAAGAGGTACATCAATAAAAGCAAGCAAGCCCCAACTAGGTTGGCACTGAAAAGCAAGCACGATCATATGCTATCTCAATGCCAAGAGTTGACGAGGAACCAACTCAAAGAAGATAACAAAAGCAATCAAAACACAAGCAAGCCCCAACACAGGCTGCCAAATTGCAATGACCAAAACCAACCAATCCAGCAGCAACACCCAACAAACAGCCTATCTACAGCAGGACACTATCTGAGAACAGAAAGACCACAAACTCTGATCTGCTCCAGGTTATAGATTAGATCATGAACTGAATAATGTAGACTTTTGGGTGATGATTTCATCCACATTGCAACTTTCAATTTTATCAAGTCATAGAGCTCCTCCCAATTTGGTTAACCCCCCATTGAAGATGCAATCACTCCTGTGCTTCCACATTGACAAAATAAGAGCAATAGGAATGGCTCTCCACATTACTTTTTCCATCTTTTTAACTCTTAAGTCCATCCCACCATTGTAGCAGACCCTCTACAGAACCTAGTAATGGCCACTGCAGCCCCCATCATTTTACCATATGAGACCATACTTTCCAAATCACGGGCAAAAGAGTAGTACATGATATGTTGATTCCTCCTCCTCTTTACAAAAAACATAAAGAACAAGTGCTGCCATTGATTATACCTATCCTTTTGAGAAAAACAGCAGTTTCAATCCTGCCTCTCCATGCTAACCACCCAAAGAATTGAGCTTTGGGTGGGGCAACATTATGCCACAATAGATTTGGTGATGACAAAACAGGGCCCAAAGCAGCATCGCACCACTTATAAAGAAAATACACAGTGAATTCACTTGAGGAACATTCCCTCCACACAGCACAATCTTCATTATGATCAGAGCAAAGCTAGCAGAATGATCAATTTATCCTCCTCCCAAACAAATAAAGCTCTTGTAAAGTTAGTCACAAATATTTGAGTCACATCGTTGTTAAATCTTAAATCCCTATTCTACCAACTATTTTGGGTTGAAGTTGTGACCAATTGGAAGCTTAATGTGAAAGGCTAAAGTCACGCATGGAAAATATGTCAGCGTGAACATGCCATGACATGACCGTATGACAAACAGGGTATGCACTTAAGAAAACAAGAATAAGTAAGATGACATTAGACAAGAAATATTCTAAAATAATCACAAACTCTTCTAGGCATGAGGTAGCATACTCCTATGGATAATTTCTAAGCCATTGAGAATACCTGCTTACATTTGTTCCCACTCGACCGTAAAAAATAATCAAAAGGCTTATAAGGCTACAAATTTTTTGAGTGTGGTAAAGATTTTGAACATCTAATCACATGATCACCTAGTAGCCTAAAACATCATTGATGAGGCATGCTAGAGACCCCTAAAATATCACCTCCAAATTTTCCTCCAATGACGTGGAAAGGGGCTGGGTCTTTGATGGCTTACTCTAAATGAATCAGAAACTGACACGATGCGGACTGTTGAGATACTGACAACAATCAGTATCTTCTTAAATCTGACAAACAACTAGCTTAGAGAAAGAATAGATACAGATAAAAAAAAAAAATTAGAAAAACTGAGTTGAGAGTAAGCGGGCTGTTGAGGGGTGAAGGGGAGTTTGTAGTGAAAATTGAGCGGAAAAGCAGGGGAGATAGTGAGAAATCAGATAAGAAAAAATGAGAATGATTTATCCGATAAGGAAAAAAAAATGTCAAAAGGGATATATTAATATCCTTGTGTGACATTTTCACTACCATACTTTTTATTTATTTATTATCTTGTGTGTGTTGGTGCTCAAGATAAAGTGTTTTATAATTTAACCTAGTAAACATATTTTGTGTGCATGATGATAATGGGTGGAGATTTCTCCTGACATAACTTTTACACCCTGTAATTTGCCAAATCTACAAATTTAATCATGTCAAATGGCAACAGTTGCATCCACACATACAAATCCTCTCCATTCCCACAGCTGAATGAACCAAGTTTAAGTGAAAATAATAGAGTAAACAAACTCAACACCACACGCAACGATATTAACAAACTAAACATATGAAGGCAATTCTCCTCAATTATTATTGTCACTTTTTTTTTTTTCCCTTTTCAAAAATTGACAACTTTTCTCTAACTTCTTGTTGCCATACAGATTTTCATTCAATCTGAGAGCACTCTTAATTGCAGGGCATCACACTTTCATAAATCAAACTAATTGATCAGGATAAAAACATAATAGTCTACCTTTTAGAGAAAAATATATTTCATGGACAACACATTGCAACAAAAACAGGAAATGACGCAATTGGGTCTAACCCACATCCACCTAGAACCTAAACATCAAAGATCAAAAGACTGGGGAGATATATGGCATCTACACCTAGAACCTAAACAATTTTCTGAACAGAATTATGAATGTGAAGAGCTTTATGAACATCATCTCAACAACTCCGATGAATAGGCGTAGAGTGCCGCTGCCAACCAACTACAAAGAAGATTCCACTCTCTTCTCGGTACAATAAGTGGAAGCTAGGAGGCATATGAAGAAGGAAAAAATTAGCTAGGGATCCACAACGGCCTGGCTTCGCCAAGATGGTATTGGGTGATTTTGGCCAAGGCCACATGGCATGGCAAGATAGGTCCACACCTATGGCAGTGTCAAATTATGGTCAAAAGGCAAATACATAATTATAAACATATATAAATCCAAAGATGATATGAACTATATCTAATTGACAAAGAACTAAATTCTATTATAAGTATTAAGAGATGGAATTTATCCTCTTATTAGATATAAAAGGTGAGTTAAAACTCAACCATCCTAGGAAGATGCCAACTAGGAAAGGAATTATCCAAGAGGCAGACTTCATTATAAATAGGCAACAACCTCTAGCAGTTGTCCACACACGTCATCCACCATGCCATTGTACATTAGACACCACTTACAAGAATTCCATACTTTCCTTCTCTATGATTGATGACTTAAGCATCAAAGTGGCATCCAGCCTGCCACCACCTGTCAGGCAACAGTACCGGTGTCTTATTTTGCAGAGTTCATTGTTTGTGTGCACGGGTAGATGATCATCTCTTAGTTGAAATCATATTTTCAAATCGGTGTGAATTTTTTCCCTCACAGTACCCACACTAGGAGTTGTGGATATCCTTCTAACTAATTAGAGCTAAAAAGAAAATACAGATTAGCCCTATGCCAAAGCAGCAGCCACAGGCTAGTACATTACCTCAGTAACAGGGTGGTGCTGGCAAATAGTGGCAGACAAGAAGACATGTACATTTAAGCTAATAGTAGAACATAGATGTCATGCAAGGAATTTCAAATAAACCATGTTTAATAAAACATTGGCCAATAAATGTATACATAGTCAAGGCCCAAGTTGTCAAAAACATTGGCAAGTATATGCACATTGACATATATTTTGACTTACCAAGATCTTTTCAACTTGCAAAAGCTTCATCAATCAATTTACATCCATGAGGTCCAGCTTCAGAGTAGATTCAGTTGGCTCTTTGAGTTCCACAACCACTGATGAACTAGGTAATTCACACCTTTTATTCCTACAATGAAATGGTATCCCACTTATTACTCAACAAAGAATGGTACACACACATATATGATATATCAGCATTATCATTAAAGGAAACTAGAAACTTACATCAGCACAACATCAAAAAATTTTGTATTAGGACCGAGATCATAAGCTTGAGATGAGAGAACCGAAGCGCAGAGAGAGGCTTTGCGTTTAATGGGCAAATAGGATGATTTCTCCACAACAAATTTGGTGCAGTGTACAGTAGGCCCTTGTCCCCAAACCAAACAAAAACATTTGCCAGTCAAATGAAACAAGAAAGTCCTCATTTCACAAGGATCTACTCTGATCTTCCGTGCTGGATTCTTAAATCCCCTAATTTTCCCCGAGAATGATTTGCCAGTTTCCAAGTCATAAGCGTACATACCGGTGTCGTTGTTATACTTGTCGTACCAATACAAGGTACTGCCTAAAACCGCCATGTTTGTTTCGTCAACAAGTAGGAATGGCAATGGGGCAATGAGGTGGATATTAATTTTCCATCCCTATTCTCCTATAATAAATTTTTCCCATTCCTCATTCCCCATTCCCCATGGGTACCACCCTTCTCATTATTTAATGGGTATGGATTTTCCCCTATCCACTTTAATCTCCATTTTTATTTTTTATATTTAATGTTAACAACCATTTTTTTTTTTTTTTTAAGGTTCACAACAAAAACTAAATATACCTTCAATCTTTTTTCTTTTTTTTTTAATATATTTAATGTTAACAATTTTTTTATTTTTTTTTAATTTTTATTTATTTATTTTTAAGGTTCACAACAAAAGTTAAATATACCTTCAATCTTTTTTCTTTCTTTTTTAATATATTTAATGTTAACAACCTTCTTTTTTTTCTTTTTCTTTTTTTATAAAGGTTTTAGCTAAATATACCTTCAATCTTTTTTCTTTCTTTTTTAATATATTTAATGTTAACAACTTATTTATTTATTTATTTATTATTTTTTTAAGGTTCACAACAAAAACTAAATATACATTCAATCTTATTTTATTTTATTTGGTTCAACAACAAAATCAAATACACATTAATTAATTAATTAAAAGTTTGTTTTATAATTAATCAAAATATATAGTTTGTATTTGATTTTATTGTTGAGCCAAATAAAATAAAATAAGATTGAATGTATATTTAGCTTTTGTTGTGAATCTTTAAAAATTAAAAAAAAATGGTTGTGAACCTTAAAAATAAAAATAAAAAAAGATTGGAGGTATATTTAGCTTTGGTTGTGGATCTTAAAAAAAAAAATGGTTGTGAACCTGAAAAAATAAATAAATAAATAAATAAAAAAGATTGAATGTATATTTAGTTTTGGTTGTGAATCTTTAAATTAAAAATAAAAAAATAAAAAAATGTGGGGAAATTAGTGGGTACCCATCCCCAATCCATCCCCTGTGGATATTTAAAGATACCCTACCCATGGATAAGAAAAAAAGGGAAAATCCATATATTTGGATTGGTTCTCCATGGATACCCACAGGGTAGGTTATCCATTGCCATCCCTATCGACAAGCGATGCAACGCGAAGGTGTTTAGTCAAAGGGTGTTTGGTCCACTTGTTTTGAGAAACATGGTACAAATACGCTTCGTTCAAATAAGCTACAGCCACTAGAATCTTCTGTAAACCCTCGAGAGCCATACACAAAAAACGAGCGGAAGGTAGCGGCTTATCACAGCAGGTAGGTTTAGGCAGAAAACTCCATTTCTTAGTCTTAGGATCAAACACCTCAGCCCAGGTATCATTTTCAGTACCTTTGGGAACGATTTTAACATGATTACCTCCCATGACATACAATTTTCCACCCAGAACCACCGCGGCGGGGCTGTTTCTTCCAACATTCATGAGACCAGAAATCAGATTCTTCCAACGGGGCGAGGGAGAAGCAGATTTGAATCGGCGAACATCGTTAGTGGGGTGAATCTCATACATTGTTCTGCCACGACAAAATCCACCGAGGCAATAGATAGTGGAATCCAAACAAACTAAGGTGCTATAGAAATATTTTTTTCTCGAGATTGGGATGAGTTTCAATTTGTTCTTCTCTCCTCTTTTCACGCAGTTGTTCCATTTCTTGCATTCATCATCGACACCACTACTATCTTGGTTCGAAATGTCGACCGCGTACCACTTCATGTTACGTTTGTGAGGATTGGCGCGAAACCACAGCGATCTCTCGTACCGTTCTTCTTGAAAATAACTTGATGGCGACGATCGATGATGACGTCGCAGTCGACGACTTCGACGCCCTCCAAGAAGAAGATGCACGAACTTGTTTGCCCTTTTACCGATCTAATGCTTATGCCTGTTTGGTTTATATGCTGGTTTTAGTTTTGGTTGGGCTGTGTTTGGTTAATACCATTTGAATGAAGCTCACGCGTTCGATATTTCTCAAAACAATTGGACCAAACGCACTCTCAAGAATCAACCTAATTTTTGGAGGGGATTATTTGGGCTCGGGAGATCTATTACGGGTATTGTTTTGATAATTTAAATTATTTATTTATCAGATATTTTGTATATTTTATTCGCACACAAAAAAAAAATTAATTCGATAAATGCAACTGGTTCAATTTATTATTTTTGTTATTAATAAAATATATTATTTATTTTTTAAAAACACAATTATCGTCTATTTTTTTTAGTGAAAAACATGATAAATTGAACAAGTTATAATTATCGAATTGATTTAATTTTTTGTGTAGATGAAATACATAAAATACTCAACAACAAAAAAATTTGGATTATCGAAACGGAACCCGTGATGAATCCTATGGGCCAAAACAGACCCCTCTAGTCCAAATTTTGGATTGGAGGGAATTCTCCTCCATTATAAATACTCCCATGAGTTTTGCTTGAAATACAAATTATTCCTATCATTTGAAAAATTATAAATACCTCTAAAAAATTTTATTTAACAAAATTAATTGAAAAAATAAAATTCGTAACTTTTCTCTTTTTTACAATAATAAAATTACTTAAATTATTAATAAAAATAAATTTCCTATTATGAACATAGTCTTTGAATCGACAAAGGCGCGCCTGGCCTTATTCAATCAATGGTGTTTTGATAACTACGGCACTTATTGAAATAATAAAAAATGAATTTATGAAAATATATTCCAAAATTTTATACAAATAATGTGACATAAGAGCATCTACAATGTTGCATCAAACTTTTTATCAAATTTAAGCAAATTTTTGATGAAAAATTTAATCTGATACGATGTTCTCTAATGTTAAATTCAAAATTTTCATTAAATGTCCAGTTTTTCAGGAGGACATTCGAGTGGATGTCCGAACATGAGCAAAAGTTGGGTTCAAATAAAGAAAACCCAGTTGTTTGAGAGGACATTCAGAAGGATGTCTGGTCTAACGATCATCTACAAATTTGATGAAAGGATAAACGCTTTCTTCATTTGATATCAATCTGATAAAACGGTTGGAGCACCGTTTTCATTAATTTTTCATCAAATTTAAATTTGATAAAAGATCTGATGCAACGTTGGAGATGGCCTAATAGAGACCTTAATTTTAAAATAAAACACTCTTTTTGTATAATTTTTAAAATAAATTACATTGACTTTTCTTGAAATTTGAAGAAAATATAATAAATGTCACAAGTTTAATATAATTACACTGGACTCCTTTAAAGTTTTTAAATAATATAAACTTAGTTTCATTTTCTTCAGAAATTTGTTGATGGTGCGAATAAAAAAAAATAATATTATTACCTCTTTAACATTGAGATATATATTTTAATTTGTGTATTTTGTTTTTTCCACACCATTTGCAAATGGTATCATTTGTGATATTTTATCTTTATGTGCCAATAAAAATTTTCATATTGGGTAAATTACAAATACATCTCCTAAGATTTTATTAAAATATGAAATGCCCTTGTAATTTTAAAAATTACAATTTTTCCCTTCAAATTTATATTTGCATAACAAATTACCCATTTTATTAATAAATCATCAAGTCAATTAACAATTTTTAATAATATCATAAATAGATCTATGCAAAATACAGTCCAATTCGTTTCGATGCGCACTAATTCATCTGCTAATTGCAGATTAAATTTTGAAATTTGTAATCCTCTTTGAAAATCGCTTTACTCCACTATAGTTAATACATGCATTTTTTTAACCTCTAATGAAGTATCAAAATAAATAGGGCTCTCCATCCAAAGATCCAAATTTGAATTATCTTTGTGTAAAAGTCCAAGCCCAAAAATATTTTGTCCACAAGGACATGTTCAGACAAAATGATCAAACTATCCCTACTAAATTTATATATTTGTCTCTCTCCTCATTCTCATTTCCAATTCCTACTCTCTACTCATCCCCTCTCTGCTCATCTTTCTCTCTCTCTCTCTCTCTCTCTCTCTCTCTTCTCTTCTCTTCTCTTCTCTTCTCCTCTCTCTTTTGCACCTTCGTCATAGCCTCCTCGCCGTCGTCATTTCATCGTCTCTGTTACCTCTCCGCCGCCATTGACGTTCCGTTCATCTCTCTATCTTCGACATTCCGTTTATCTATCTATCTATCTCTCTCTCTCTCTCTCTCTCTCACACACAATTTTGAACACCGCTCGTTTGTATGGATCAACACAAATCCCCACAGATTTCAAATCTGTATGGCCGCCACACAAATACCACCACACAGTCGATCAACACCGCCAGGAAAGCGAATCCTAATCCATTCTCTATCAAGATGTTCACTCTCTATTTCTTTACCATCTTCATATCCTTCATCCTCTCCACCTCCACCGTCACCGCCGTACCAAACGAGGAACTAGAATCGATGTTGGCTGTGTTTAGAACTAGAGGCTGCAACCTCTTTGGTAACGCATCCACCATCTTTGACCTTGATGTAGGCCAAAAGGTACTACATTAAGGCCGCTTAAAGTACATTTATAGTCTTTGAATTTTGTTTATTTGACAAAGATGATGTGTTTTGTACACTTGTACAGATTTGGCAGGCAACATACAAATTGTAGGCGCTTGAAAGGCCCACCTAGGGATGCGTGTGCAGAATTTCAAGTTTGTTCTACTGAAAATAAAAAAAGAAAAAGAAAAAGCGGCTACTCTAGGGTTCCGAAAATTCCAAAAGAAGAAGAGGAGTTAGGGTTTGGAAAGAAGGGTGAGGGTTCTCAAACTTCAAGAACATCTTCCATAGGGGTTTCTTATTCTTCTACCTTTTCTCATGCCTCCATGAGTGGCTAGGTTTCTATTTCTAGGGTTTTCATGAAACCCTAGCCAAGTAAATAGGGTTTTCTTTTTGGTTTTTGATTAGGTAATGGTTTGAACAAGTTGCATGGTATTTAAGAAGTGTTTAAATATATTTTTCATTATTTTTTCAAGTATTCTTCTTTCTGTGATTGTTGAATGCTTTCTATGACATGGTTTTCTATTTTTTCATATTTAAGGTATGAGAT